TAAAAACTACGTCCGAGCCCCAAATTCTGATTTCACCAACATTTTTTTCGTTAATAAAATGACTAAGTCCAAAAAAAAAATGGCCAAAAAAAGGGGTGTCCGGTAAAGTATAAAAGTTCCCAAAAAGATATTATAATGAATTATAGACAAGGTATAAATAAAAATAAAATATTAAATTTACTTGATTGTTGAAAATTATCAAATTGTTTAATTAACTCTATAGCAACTTTATTTTTTACTGACAATCTTCTAATATTGATCAGTTTATCAGTAACTAAAGTCCACTTTTCATAAAAAGTGTTCCAGTTAGGGAATAACTCTTTTTGCATGGGATATAATGTGTTGAAATCTTCACATACCTAAAAACCAAAAATTAAAAATTAAATGGTGAAAAAAATTTGTGTTCACACATTTATTCCACTAATGTCATCATATTTTATAATACATGGATTAGATTTTATATTTTATTTCTATTACTGAATTAATAATATATTAATTAAAATTCATAATATACAAATTTAACATAAGTATATCAATTTGTTTTATACAGTAGGGGGCCCAATAAATCATTTTACATTAAAGTTCTTTAAATTTATATTTTACATATTATCTAACTAGACATAGGAAAAATGTTACCTACAATATTTTAATTTTTAATGAACTTGCTACAAGTTTTTGCGTTAAAATAATTATTTTAAAAGATTAAGGTTTTCACCCATGGAAAGTATAAGAAGCAAATATTTAAACACTTACCAATTCATATCCTCTTGGGCTTTTGAGAATAGGCCAACTTTTAAATATGTCACATAAAGTAAGTTTGGTATGTGAATTAAGTACTTCAGATCTCCTCAAATCAAAGGTTAAATTCCACTTTTCTTTTACAGATTCAAAGTCTGCTGATAATCCTTCTTCTTGTAGCCATAATTTAGCCAATGCTAGTTCATCTTAAATATAGGTATATAATATTTATATATATTATAGTTATTAGGTAACAATTATAATTTATAATTTTTTTTTCTTTTAATATGATTTATAAAATTTCAATACCAGAAAATACAGGTTTTTCTAATGTAGGAACAATTTTTTTTCTATCAAACTCAATCGCACCAATACTACGAAGACGTCTAGCTACATTTTTCCAACGTTCAACTAGTTTCCCTTTTGCATGGGTTTGATGATTACCTTCACTTTTAGCAGCTATAAAATAAACTCTCTAGAAAAATAGAAAAGGCAAATTAGAGAAAAAAAACTGAAAACAAATAGTGCGCTGACATACCTCTTTTTCAAGAGGAAATATTTCTACAATGAGTTTGGCGATTTTCTTGAAAAAGAAATCAGTACCTCTGAAAAAGATTAATTTTTAAAACAATAATTATAATAGTTTATTACAACACTAACAAAGAAGTGTCCAAAATGGCAAAATCTAATAAATTTTATTTTTTAGTTGGGAGTTTAACTAATATAAATATTTGTACAAGCATTTTATGTGTAAATAAAAGCAACTTTATGTAATAACTAAAATAGTAAATGCAACTTCTATATAATATTGAAGTATACAAACTAAAAACACCTAGAAATTATACTGATTTTAATGTTGGGTGTTAAAAGTTAAACTTATAAAATTGTCTTTTATTATTAGCTTAATTGTAATTTTCTTTCTGTGATAATATAATAATTGTATGGGTGATAGAAGTACCTATCACAATATTGTTTATACTTAATTTAAATAAAGGAAATTATTTTATTTTATTAATTTAATAGCAATGTTAAAATTTAATTTAATTTATGTAGGGAATACAGACCATTCAAATTACTAATATAGTATAATGAAATATATTGCAGGTACATACTTGCATTTATCTTGAAATAAAAAGTTAATTAATAACTTGGTTAGTGCATTTTGACCATCGTCAGATAAACGGCCTTTATTGGTCACTGAATCTGCTAAGACATATCGCCCATCATTACTTGTATGTAGAAGTTGTAATACTGTCTGCAATAAAAAATTACTTATTTTAATATTAGAAATTTAAATTAGTGAATACAATTTTACCTCATTGGTCCAATTCATCGGCTGATATGTACCATATTTGGAATGATTATTAAAGCTTGTAGAGAGTGCAGAGTTCACTGGTTTTGATTTTGTATAAGGCAAATGACGATTAGTGATATCCTCTGATACAGAACAAGTAGATGTAGATGGTGGACAATTCATTAACTCTAATGAAGTGGACGATGAGTAAACATTGGTATGATCAACTGATGTTAAGATTCTAGTGTTTTGAGTGTAATCTGTGTTTGGGATAGACGTTGAAATATCTTCCAAATTAGAATTTTCATCAAAATTTTTGGGAAACAAAGACTATATTAATTTAATAATGTACATTAATGTTTATTGTTTTTTACTAAAGAAAAGATAAAAGAATAAAATCTGAAACAACGCTTTCTACAAATTACAATAATATGTATAAGTACAATAGAATTTTGTAACGATTTTAAGTTTCTAATTTAATAAATAATGACAACTTACCTGAAACACTGAATTAAAATCAGACATTATAAAATAGAATATAATCTAGTTGTTAATTTAACAGTTTTATGATTACTAAATTAGGTTATACTAATGCTTCAAAAAACTTATAATCTTATAACTTACAATCAACGAGGAGACAGTTGAGATGACTTCACTCTCGGCGTGTAATGATGAACTTTATAAAATTAAACACAAAACACCAAAAATATAAATATAAATACGCCAGTCGTCAATCGCCGTTACGAAAATACAGTATAGATATAACATAGACCATTAATCAGGGGTATTTCCAGTAATTATTTCAAATAGTGAATATTGATGCTATACATAGAACAAAATCATAATAAATAGTTATCAATTATCGTGTACGTAGTACGTCCAACCATGAACTATGATTAAAACCAATATCACTGGTGTTAATTTAACACTCCTGAACTTTAAAATAAAGATGTCTATTGTTGACATTAATTCAATTCTCATAGTTAAATACAATATTATATCGTTTTTATATTAAATAAGGTATATTTTGCAATTTGCTTAAGTAACGTCATTATGATGTTCACATAAATGTTTTTGCACTTATATTCAATAAGTTGAATGTCTAAACAACATGTTATATTATACTCAAATTTAATTTTCATTATTTTTTTATTTTAACAGTTAGTTAATACAATTTAAAATTACATTAGAGTTGTTTAAACTATGTTAAGTTTTACCTTAGTAGTTTGATACTGTTAAAACGATACCTACCATTACATTGTTCATTCGGACCCACAATTTAATCGACTCAACTTACGTAGTATAAATTAAATTAAAGTAGTATATTTAATTTATATTCATAGAAGGTTATTGTTAATATGACACCTATAAAAGTTTGAATGACTTAAATAAATATTAATATCACTTTTTCTCAATATTTTTTATGAATTAAAATTATTGTTAGGATAAATGTTTTTGGATTAACACTTTTAGATAGTTCTTTTAAACTCCTTGGACACTGACTTCAACTATCAGCCCGTTGACACTGTAATATTGGTAATTATAACACCAAAATTTCTACGTGTGTAGTTGAGTCGCTATATACCTCCTTGTCTGCAATTAAAATAATATACTGAGGTAATCGTAAAGACAATTAAAGGGAAATAAATCATAATCATCTCAAACTTTGTATTACCATGTTTTAAATTAATTTTTATGCATACCTGTATCTGTTACACCATTAGATTTTTTAGAATTTGAAGCTCTATCTTCCTGTAACTCCTTATCTGTATTAGTTTCCTTTGCTACTAAAATAAATAAAAATTCATTAAATTAATTATTTTATACTTTGTACTACCATGTTTTAAATGAATTTGTATACATACATGTATCTGTTAAGTGTGATGTTTTTATATGTTGAGCTAAATCACTTTTATTGATTCTCATACTGCACATGCAGCAATTGACTGCAGCTGATGTTTGGTCTTCACGTTCTTGTACATCCATACTCTCTACTGTAATATAAAAATATAATGTAAAAATATTGTCATACATTTATTTGAAATAATGCAAGTGGTTAATAGGGCAGAAATTAACATGATAGCAATTAAAATATAAAAAAAGGTGGTACCTTGTGTCACAGGAGATTCGACTGCAGCTGATGTTTGGTCTTCGCGTTTTTATTCAGCCATACTTTCTACTGTAATTTAAAAATCAAGTAAAATGTATAAAAATTAAAATTATATAAAATGTCACTAAAAGTATATGGAAATAAATTATCATCTTTTTTTTTGTTGTTACAGCTCTCACATTCACAGTTTTCATTGTTCAAACCAAAAAAATGTTTACCGTAGTTCGCCGTTATTTCTTCTCCAGCATTAATTGCTTTAACTGTTTTTGCGTACCAAAATTCTCCCTTAAGCTCCCATTTTGTATTTGGGGAGCAATCATGATTTATATATGCTGCGGGTCCTAGGAACAACATGTCTTTTCCGTTTCGAGAACTAGCCATTATTGAAAAGTCATTAACACCCACCTGTAAGACAAAAAAAAAAAATTTTAATCAAAATATAAATATGTTATAGGTAGTTTTAGTTAAGCAAAACATACTTTTATGTCTTCAGGTTTAATTAGGGCAGTTTGTCCGCAGAGTGTATTAATGACAAACATTAAATATTGATAATTATAATTTAGATCTACAACCAGGAAAGTTGGACATTTTTACTAATGATAATAATCTTTGTAGTAATAATGTTAATAATTTTATTCCAAATAAAAGTTTTCAATTTTATGAAAATGATGGTCAAAATAATTGTTCTTTACAAGATAAATTATCACAACTAATTGCAAAATATCATATTTCCCATAACTGTGTAAATGAATTACTCATTATCTTACTATCAGAAGGTTTGGACGTACCTAAAGATGTTAGATCTTTATTGAAAACTCCTAAATCTAAATCGCATAATATTATTCAAATGGAAAATGGTTCGTATATTCATATTGGCGTTGAACGAATGATTAAACCCATTCTTTACACATATTTTGATAGGATAAAAGATTTAAACTTAATTCAATTGAGTGTCCATGTTGATGGATTATCTATTTCTGATAGCTCAAAATCTAGTTTTTGGCCTATTTTATTTTCTTTTATAAATGTTCCCGAAATTAATAAAATTGTACTACCAGTAGGAATTTTTCATGGAAGGAGTAAAAAACCGGGTTCAGTATTTTCCTTTTTTGATCCATTTATTACCGAGATAAAATCAATTTTTGAAAATGGGATTGAAATAAATCAAAAACTTTTAAATTTTTCCATTACTCAAATTGTATGTGATGCACCAGCCAAAGCTTTTGTGTTAAACGTAAAATACTTTAACGCATATCATAGTTGCAACTCATGCCTAGAAGAAGGGGAATCCATAAACCGAAGAATGTTTTTTTTGGGTATTGACGCTCAATTGAGAACCAATGAATCTTTTTGCTCAAAAAGTGATGAGTCTTATCACAAAGGCCCTTGTCCATTAGAAGTATTGCCTATCTATATGACTTCAGTTTTCGTTTTAGATTACATGCATAATGTTTGTCAAGGAGTAATGAAACGATTGTTACATTTTTGGAAGAGTGGCCAAAAACCTGTAAGATATTTAAATACTGATCTTGAACATCAAATTTCTACTGAACAAGTAAATCTTCAACCACATTTTCCGTCGGAGTTCAGTAGATTACCCCGATCATTAGATGAGCTAGAATTTTGGAAAGTGACTGAATACCGTACTTTTTTGTTGTATACAGGCCCCATTTTATTAAAAGGAAGGATAAAATCATCCCTGTACAATCATTTTTTACTTTTACATTGTGCTGTTAAACTTTTAATATCTGTTGAAACTTGTATAATCTATAATGACTTGGCAAATAATTTATTAAGACAATTTGTCACAGAGTATCCTGAACATTATGGAAGTGAATATGTAACATATAATGTTCATTTTCTTATACACATAGCTAATTTTGTTAAGATTCATGGTCCACTTGACAAGTTTAGTGCCTTTAAATTTGAAAACTATTTACAAATCATAAAAAAAACTGTTCACAATTCTAAATACCCTCTTCAAGGCGTATACAACCGAATTCTTGAACAAAATATCTATTTATAAACAAATATTAAATATCCTTTACTCAAAAAAGAAATTGATTTCAACTATATAATTCACCAAGATATAACAGCTACATTATATGAACAAGTTTTACTAACAAACTTTAAAGTTAGTTCTACTAAAGAACGTGATAAATATTTTTTTTTATTTAATTGTTGTGCTATTGTGTCTGTTGATAAAATAATTAAAAACTCTTCCGGTCAAATAATTCTTGAGGTTACTAAGTATGAAAATTTATCTCCAATGTTTAATAGTCCAATCTCATCACTTCTAATTGGACATTTTCTGGTTAATACAGAAATCAAAATTCCAAAATGTTTAATTGGTTTATCAAACTTAAAATATAAGTGTTTGTTTTTCCATACTTCAGAAAATCGAGCTGTAGCCTTAAACTTACTGCATACGGAATAAAACATTAAAATTAAATACTATAAATGTCATATTTATTTTAAATATTGTGTTTGTCATACTCAATTAAGCTTTGAAATTATTGTACACAGTATAAAATGTATTCATTTCTCTTAATGTTATAATTTTTGTGAATATTACCTATGTAGGCAACTTCAAAATAAATATTTTGTACTATATGACTTGTGTTAAATCATTTAATTATTATATCCAAATTTTCAAATCATTTGAAACCCAAATAGTAAGTACCCAACATAAAATTATATTAGTTACATGGATGTTACGCATTGGACATCTCATGGATGAAAAAATTGTGAAATCCTTAGGTACACGTTTTGAGATGTTACTGTGATGTTGAATTTAACATCTTTAAGTAGACTACTAAGACACGTTTAATGTGGGATGTTCTATAGATGTTCAGTTTTAACTTCTCAGATGTGATATCCTTCAACGTGGCGTTTGGCATCTCTAGAACATCACATGAATGTATATGGGTAGTAAAAAGAAACATCACATATCGCAATAGAACATCTATTTTACTTCTCTGATACAAGATATTTCACACAGGGTTATGATTGTAATACCTACTATGTTGCCTCCTACCTATACAACTTTTTTCCGTATAATAATAATAATACAAATATCTAATACTGAAGTATCATTAAAATAACCGCAATGGGTGAATACTAAATACTAAATAACAAATATCAGAAAGCCGGGTTTGTCTAAATATTAAATAAAAATATGTCTAAATATGTCTATAATTTGTACATAGTACATGTTACTATGCTAGTATGGTACATTCAAGTGTACTCGTATGGTACAACGAATATTTAATTTAATTCAATTAGTTTGTTTAATTAATTGAATAATGTACGAATGAACAAGTTCGCCCAAGTTTCCATTATTAAAAAACATTTTAAATACTTTTTTTTTAAAAAACATCGGTCATCGGGAAAAAAAATCGAAATTTTTCTCGATACATAAAAAAAACATCGATGTACCGGACAAAAACATCGATGTTTTTAAAAAATCGATGTATTTTACCCATCTCTACTGCTAAGCATTGAATTTTATCAGTCGAGAACGAATTTAAAGTAATTATAATATCTGCTATCATTTGTTATATGAACATAATAGATAATGGTCTTAATACAGAGGTCGCCAACCTTTTGGACCTCGAGGACCACTAGATTCATACTCTTCAGTCCACGGACCACGTTAGTTTATAATAGGTTTTTACATAAATACCGTTCCACTGATAAGTCTTATACCAAATTAATATAAAATAATAAAAATGGATTCCTTTTTATTGATAACAAAAGTTTTGAGTTACTGTAATTATTACAAATTACTGAAACTTATTCTAAACTGAACCTACAGAGCAACATAATACAATACTTTGTCACACATAGTAATTATACGACACGTGTCATCGCACAGGCGTCTCGCGACAAGATAATTTCCAATACCAAAACTCAAAGCGCATGCGTGGGGACTTGGATTATTTTCAGGAATCGCATGCTTATCACTATTATCGCTTATCACTATTCTTATCACTTTTTTCAAATTCCAAAATAATAAATAAGTATGTTTTTAATAGTTATTAGTTAATTTAATTTTTAGATTATTTTTTTAAATACATATATATATTTTTAGTGAATTCATTACATTAACATAATAATTAATAATGAAATATTATATATTTATTATATTATGTAATAATATTTAATAAATATGGTCAAAATCTACATGCACATTTTGTACTAATAAATCTCCTTTCAAGTTCTTAATACAGCTTTCTTTTTCGGCAGTGGTAGGTTTTGTTAACAATTGAGTAACAGTCTTCCTTGTCTTTGTCTTGGGCCATTTTCTATTCTGATGACTAATTTTTTTAAGAGGGTTGTCTTCTGCTTTTTTGATGCTTGTATTAGTAGTTGGCTTAAAAAAAGAAAGAGCTTTATCCAGACACTTCAAAATATTTTTAGTATCACATTCATCTGATGGATTTTCGACATAACTTATCATTGTATTTAATTTGGTTTTGATCTCTTCTAATTCTTCCACTTTGTTTGAAGTTTGAACCTCTAAAAATTGTTTAGTCTGCTGAATTTCTATTTCTCCAATATTTTCTTGATTATTTTTCATGTCATCAATTTCTTCAGTTGAAGGATTCATGGATCCAACTTTGTGTATATGTTTACATAAATTTAAATATATAACACTATCAAGACAAGTACAAATATGCGTATGAATACAAACATTACATTCTGAGCATCGTAGTACACATAGGGACTCAGTACAATGTTTTTTAAGAATATGCACTTTATAACGATAATTAGCAGCTGTCTGTGAAGTAACATAGTAAATCATCAAGTCTTCTGTATCTTGTTCAACATCTTCATTTTTTAAATCCTTGCTTTTTATATGGCTGTGATTAATTCTTTTAATTCTATCACTTGGTTTGTTTTTTGCTATTTTGATTATTCTATCATACATAGTGTCTCTTAATACAATGTATTTACATGTAATTCCTACATTTATACTACCATTAGTACCATTATATTTAATATTTAGACTTTAAAGTACCATTTATCTGACTCGGGCGTCTATATTTTACTTTTTTATACATATCAAAAGATCAAAAGTGATAAGAATAACGATAAGCGATAATAGTGATAAGCATGCGATTCCTGAAAATAATCCAAGTCCCCACGCATGCGCTTTGAGTTTTGGTATCGGAAATTATCTTGTCGCGAGACGCCTGTGTCATCGCTGGTAGATTAAGATAATAACGTTCAAATTTTTCTGCGGACCACCACCTTAATTTTCTCGCGAAACACCGGTTGACATGCTTGTCTAATATACCTATATTCAACGTTCTTTACACATCAATGTTGATATTACTGACAGATTTTCTTAGTTTAAAAAATAATGTAAATAATGCAAAAAGTTGAAAATAGGGATAACTATTGTATTATTTATATAATAGTTTATACACACGAGACGTGTTGTATATTATTATGTTTGATTTTAAAGGAACAGAATTACTGCAGTTCAATCATTACATAAATCATATCGAAAGCGATTGTATTTTATGTTACATAAGTAGTATAATATATTATATCTTGTTGATAATAATTGTTGATCCCGATTCGTATAATATGTACCTGGGTACCTAATACCAATAATGATATGAAAACTCACGATTTAGGAAACAACAAAACCATTCACGTAAGTGCGTGTAGTTGCTCTACTGCGGACCACGATGAATATCCACAAAACGAAAACGTTGCGATGATATTATGAAGACGATGCTCAGGGAAACGAAAAAATCTAGATCAAACGACCGTGACAGAAAGGTCAGTATTTCAGTAGGTATCCGAGATACTGCACACGCACCATGCTCGGACAGACATGTTATATTATAAACGCACGTTAAATATTATTATCATTATTATTATACACATTATAACGTATCGGTCGAGATCGTATTTTGCTGAAAAAAATAATAAAACGAATACGCTGAACACACAAACGCGGTGGAATTTTTAGACAGTGTAACAGCAGAAGAACTACAAAAACTTAAATACCAAACCAAACATATTATATTATTATATCCGATCCAAAGTGCTTAATACTACGATAATATATGTTATTTTCGGGTAAACGTATAGTAGGTATTGCGTTACATACCTACCATTATTTTTCTCTCTTGTTTCTTATATATAATATATTAATACCATTATCCTAATATAATATATATTTTTTACGTTAATGGTAATTTATTATTATAATATAACGTATTGTATTACTTTTGACTGCTTTCCGTTCCGATTAAACACGCACGCGCCCCACAATAATGTCGATGCGTCCATATAGCGTGTGTGTCTGCCCTCGCAGTACTTATTTACCGCCGCCACGTGTTTAATATGCTTATTTACCAAATGTCAATTCACGTTTTTGTCACCTTTGGACAGCTGTGCCAGTGTTACACACAACATATTATATATCATGATAAATTATGTAAAATATTGTGTTAAAACTTAAACGCGGCGAAAACGGAAACCGACCGGCATGTCACACGGCTGTCGTTCGACCGTAAAATCGAGATATTCAAACCAAGACGATTATTATGAATCTAAGATGCCCCCCCCCCGTGCCCTTTCGCCCCACATACAATGAGCGTCCCCCCCCCTGAATGGGACAATTTACCCCCGGACCAAAAATAAAAATATTAAACAATAATAATAATATACAATGCAAATAAATTTGCTCAATATAATTCTATTAAACTAATGTGTAAATATAATTCAATAATAACACTTGCTATTTGCCAATACAAATTCATTAATATAAATATCAAAAATGTCAAACACTATGCAAATACAAATTATAAATACTTATAAAAATATGATATGATTAAATAATACTAGGAAAAAAACGTAACTTGTATTTTTTATTTTGGTGATTTAGCTCACAGAAATTAAAACATTTTTAAATATCATCATTTGAAAAACTTTTACATACCTAACATTTTTAATCTGTCGTCTTTACCTAAATTATTACGGAAAGTTCCTGCTGTATAATTCAAAATGTTTATTTATGCACTTGAGTTGCTCATCTGTAAAGCTTCAATAAAAACGTGAACGATGATGGTCAATATATGCCGACATCGATATGATGGTTGTATATTTCAGGTAAAACCTGAGAGCCTATTTTCCAACCTATTATTATGTGTGAAAAAAATAAATATGTATTATTGATTCAGGTAGGAAATGTCTCTGCCTGGGGGGAAACGTCCAAGTACCTATTACTATTATTGTACAAATCACTTTTGGTGCCGTATACACTATACAGAGATAGGTACTGTGGACGTCAAGTCGTCTCCGTGCACAGTCTGTTCATAACATACTGCAATAATAGTCGGAATCGGACTGAAAAACATTAATTCTCGTAACGCGTAATATTTAGAGTTTATGATATTATAATGTCTGTCGTTCAGGAGTACTCGGCAGTACGCGATTCGTATGTGCCTATTATTCATATTTTATTGTCCACTAAAAAGTCCGTTACAAATATATTATTATATAGGTACTCTTAGATTTTGATGTTTTACTAAAATATGTAGGTCTTCATCATTATACGTTGTTAATTATCGTTATAACTATCAACCACATCAATTGCAGAGAACAACGAGCGTGTGTTTTGTGAAATAGAAATGCACATTGGGTATATATAAAAAAAAAACAACAATGTGATGATTATTTTAATTTTCACACAAAATGTATAGTGTTTTGCAATGGGAAATATCAATCTTGTCGTAATAACATAGGTACAGCGTATTTCACTATCTATATTGCCATATTAGGTATATATAATATGCTTAATCGCGACGGATTTTTAGCTGGTCAGTGATTATACAATACCAAATTATAATTATATTGGCGAATACGTTTGTTGGCTGCACGCACGTGGTTGTTTATCTGCAGAAATTCAAGAAAGTGTTATAAATTATAATAATACTTATAAAAGTATATAATAGATGTACATAGTACGGTGTGTAACTTTCAGACGCAGCTTGGCCATATTAGGTATTATAATATCGCCGTTAACTTATAAGTCAATACGGACATTACGTGATTATAGATTTTTGAACCATGCTGAAAATTAGTCAAAATATTTTAAAAAAATCATTGCGTAAAAAGTATAAATAAATCAATAGTGAAATGTTTTCGGTTTTTTTTACCCTTGATATCTTTAAAATAAAATAAAAAACAAAAATCGTTATTTTTTGATTAAAAGTTCATTTCATTTCATAAAACATTGAACTTAGAATTTATTTAACAAAAAAATATTTACATGTTGGATTTCTCTTAATCGCTGTAAAAAAAACTTATGAGAAATCTTGTATCAAATTGTCAAGCCTTAAGGCATTAGTACTGTAATTAAAATTTTTATGTTATTTTAATTACAAAATAATTTACATATTTTTGTGATTATTACAAACGTTTAAAAAAAAATTATGTATTTCAATATTTTTTGATTGGTGTAAGATTACTTATAAAGAACTTCGTATTACAATTCAAAGCTTTTTTACTGAAAAACAAAAATTGTGCCAACATAAATCGAAAATAAATAAATAATAATAAGACACTTTCAAATAATTATGAATTGATTGCTAGATTTCATTTAAAAAAAAAAACATTAAACCACAAAGCATACAAACTAAATCAAATTTTTTTACCAGAACCACGCTCAACATTGGGGATTAAACCATTTTTTATTTTCACACACAAAAAACACACATCGCTCTACTCGTCATCTAAAACATAAAACAAATAGAAATTGTCACTAGGGGCCATAAAAAAAAAAATTAAATAACAATTATCACAGCGATAAAAATTAAAATATCCACCACAGTTGGTGTTCAATTTTGTATTTATATTTTTTTTAAATAGGTATGGGCCCTTCCTTTGTCCATAACATAATATTGTATACCCATGATAAGGGTATACATACGCATATGACTCAGACCAATTAAAAAAAAAAAAAAATGAAGGAATTCAGAAATAAATTATAATTATTATAATGTGTATAATATGACGTATTGTGTCCCTATGGTCTATAAACTCTAGAATGTGTGCACGTCGCTCGGAGACTTCGACGTCATATCGTAGGCGTCGTAAACATGGTGAATGAAGTAATGGACCAGGAAGGACGAACAGGTAGGGCGCTCCTCCGTTCACGAGACCGCGGACCGGTTTGTGCCGAACAGCCGCAGTAACGAGCTTCGCGCTAATATCGCCGGTCGACCTGTACATTAGTCTCTCCGGTTGCGTTTACCAATAAACATTATTATTATTATTATTATTTTTTTTTTTTTTTTATTCAATTGTTTATAATTTTATACCGTTTTTAAACGAAAAAAACACATCGCGAAATAATATACCGGCGTGTGCGAAAATGATGATACTACGTTACAAGTAACTCGTTCGATTCGCGTCCGGCTCCGATCGCGTATAAGTGTCAATGGAATAATCGTAGTTTTGATAAACAAAAACAAAAATGACGTAAGTTTGAAACGATATAATAACAATAACATACCTATTATATAATATTATGCACCCGTATCGTTATTTGACCGTACAACAAATGAGTCGGACAGCTTACGAATTGAGATAAAACACTATATTATACGATCTATTTGAATGCGTTTCGAAAAGAAGGCCGAATTAAGGCTGAATATTGTACATAATATTATTATGTATACATTTACCTATGACATATACCTACAGACAGTTGCATACCGATTATGGTAGTCCAAGGACACCACGCGTGTGTATATTTTGTGATATAGAACGGCCGAGAGAATTAAAACCGCCAGGTTTCCGAACCTATTGGTATACTGCAATAATAAACAAAATAACAGCGATGTGTACTAAACATAATATTTCAATATTGCATAGGGACATCGTTCACGCGCTCGCATTATTGCAGTCTGCGGCCCACTAAATCCATTCAGTATCCATTACCGTTGTTATTAATTTATTTAATTCGTTTTCAATGGCGAAATGTTCGCAGCTATATGTACAAAATAATGATACACCGTCTATAATAACAATAATATAATAGTGTATTATTTTAGTATACACCGCGTGTACCTAGATTTATTATTATTATTATTATTATCAATACAACCGGGTGTATGTCTTCCAAGCCGCGCTTGCGAACAACGTAAGTCATTTCTCGATCGGCCGTTTACATAATAACAATTTTTTTCTCCGACATTCTAGTATATTATATTCACGTATACAGCCCGAGGGGCCGCATGCTTTCACGTGACTTAACTTTTCTATATACACCTTCCGAAAGACTGGTCATCGTTATAAATGTCGTAACGTCGTAAATGTATTATATATGTTTGTGTGTGCTGTGTAATGAGTATATATATATATATATATTATATGCACCCAGCTTGCACTCGGGAATGACAACGATTCGCTACGATGCGTCCTCCGAAACGTGTAACGAAATAATATGTTTGTGATGTGTATACGACATGGCGCAAACAGTCAATAGATGCGCATTAGCATAGGTTTGTCAACGAACCGTCCGTTCTGTATTTTATTTTTTTTCTTACGATTATTAACGACTGTTTGCAACTCGTTTCTATAGTTTGTCGCGTTAAACATGTTTTACTAGCTATCCGTTTACCGAACACAAACGTCAAACATAGTATAATAGTCGCACCATAGGTACCTATGCGAACAGACTACAATTTTCCAAAAAAAGTTGTTTGATTTTATTTATGGCATGATAAAATAAATATTTCGCTGGGTATTAATTGCGCGTTGTCCAAATAACTAAATAACAAAGGGCGTTCATTATTATTGCTTTGAATAAACACGTTGTACAGCACGAATATAAATATATTATAATAATTTATGTACCTACTCGCAAATTAGTAATTATGCATGTACTTATTAATTATGCAAATTTGCCGTTATTATTATTGCATCTATAAATATTATGTTGCACATCCGAGAAATTATTTTGTAATAAAATATTTCACTCCTCTTATAGACTATAATATGCTGCTTAATAATTACAGTTATACTGCATTTGCTTAATTACACAATCATTTTGAAATCAAAATACCGCATGACAGATTTTAGAATATTTTTAATTTTAACGTATGCAATTTAAATTTATGAAATGTAGTAAAAATAAAACGCCTATTAATGTAATTGGATGAAAGTACTAAGTACCTGTCTATGTCTGTGTAACGATTATAGAATTTTAATACGAAAATAGTTTAAATCTTTCACTGATTTAATTAAAAATATAGGTAGGTACTCAAATGTATATAAAAATAAAATAAACCATTAAATTATGTAAAGCAACTGAATCTCCGCTAGATACCTCCCATATGCCCGTTTATAATAAAATAGTAATAATTTTCATACCCTCAAAACCCTGGTTGTCTGCATGAGATTTCTCACCGAACCGTGATTATTTTTTTCTTAGTCTTCATAGTCTAATAATTCGTCTATACGTCGTCTGGTTTTCTTTGTTTACAGAATATTATATACTATATACATTAACATCGTATGCCTGCTATGTATAATTATAGATGAGATAATGTGTATTGACCGCTCTCGGGAATCTCAACTTTGAAATTCTTCGTTTCTGTATGTCGTCCGTATAGCACCTCCCACGAAGAGCTGTAAAATCGTCCGTCGTTTCTATGATGTTATATTATATTGTACAATAAATACCCAACGAGATGACACTGCCAATGTTCTTCGCGCAATCGCCACCGCAATAATATCATAGCGCATTACATCTAAAGACTGTTGTAGTCGTACAAGACGTGTGTTATATACATATATACCGTTTCTCTAACCAACTGCAGGGAAAAATGTGCGCCGCAACACAAAAATGCGATGCGCGTATATAATACACATATAGTTCGTCTGATCGCCTCGTGGACGTGATCGTTTTGGCCGACCACAAAAGTCATGTATTACCTATTACCTACCTCGTATTATATAGATAAGTACTGTAGACCGTAGGAAGCTGCAGCAGATGCCGATACCCAATAATAGTTGCATAGCCACACGCGAAGAGCGATTCGACTCGGTGCTGTGGAAAAACTTCGTCGTCCGCATACAACATAATGGTTTATACATTTTACTATATATATATATGTATATAGGGACAGAGGAGAGGTGGAGAAAGAGAGAGAGAGATAGGTATATATAGTACCTACGTGACGACACTCTCACGATCGACTGAAAACTCGAAACGGTCATGAGAAAAATATTGTATCGCTTTGGCCTGCTGCGGCGGGTAATTTACCGACCAAAAATAATCGACGGACGGGACTAACCTTAATGGATCTGAAAATCGTTTTTTCGTTCCTTTATTTTTCGCCTAGTCACAACATATAAGCCTCGTCGGAGGACGCAGGACACACACGCACACGCCGCCGCAGCGATTCGATGCCGCGCGACGAGACTCGCGCGTGTATAATAATAATGGTTGGTTTACCTCTAATAATAAAAAATAATGATAATATATAATATTTTCACGTTATAGTTACCCGCTCGCGGATAACGTTATAATATAAATGTGCACTCTAAACCCTAATGCGTAGCCGTAGTCACGAATCTCATTTCTAAACGTTTATGGCGATACATATTCGTTAATCGCACGATATACGCAGGTAGTTGTATGTATTAGTTGCGTACGGCCATATAGTATATACCAAATACTTAAATTATAATATGTAGTGCGTGTATGTATTATACATGTATATATATTATTCTTATACCACACGCTCGGTATATGTACCGATATAATGAGAGTGCATACCTACCCTGTATATAGTGTATTGTACTTCTACATAGGTATGCGCACATTCCAATATCCGATCTATCACGAATTCACGAACGAAATCTATAATAAGTCCCGTTCATTGGTTCGTATATACAATATGTACTGTGCGTATAAATGGGTATGTACAACCGAAACTCTACGACCAAACCCGAAATCGATTTGTAAGTACGTTGCGTACAACCGATTACCGATATTAGGTGTGTTCACTGATAAAATTTAATCACAGCGTGTATTCGGAAAATATTTCATTATACCTATACGTATAATAACTCTTATTGTACCCGTAGGTATATCAATACATGGTATACCTCCTCTATTTACATATACCGCCTGACTTAACCATAATATCGCGTATTTTTAAACAGAAAAAAATACGTTACCATGTATATGGATAAAAAATTGAGAAATTAAGTTACCTACCTATATTACTTACACTATTACTACACAATATCACTGCGAGTTAGATACTATTTATTATTTACTGTTTGCCATCGACATTTTAATGAAACTCAATTAGGCATATCAAATTAGGTGTAATTTATCCGCTGCAAATGAACTCTGCCATCAAAATCAGGTACTTTGCTCAGCTTTGCCGTTGGTAATTGGTACATTGGTATACGTCTAGCGGTATATTGTAAGCACTATTGTGAATAATGACTGTTTGAATTGTCCGCCGAGGATCCCGCTTAATCGTAACAATACCAACACAAATTAATGATTATATTACTCGTAAATCACTCCCAGGCGTCGGATTTTAAATTTTATTTTTTTAAAAAATTTTTTCACACCGAATTCATCTGATATTTTTAGTAGTAAACCTACAATTCAGGGTTTTAGAGTCTGTGGACGGTACCCAATTGAAATTTCAACTTTGAAATTGTTTTCATTAGTAACATTTATTCTAATAAAAAACTTATGTATATATATTATATAATATATATATACCGATTACATAACACAATAATAGCATTTTAAATTGCTTAAAATTAAAATATTAATAAAATTCACCTAATTGTATAAAATTATGTAATTTTATTTTATAATTTATTTATCTGGGTCCCAACATAAATAATATATTATTACAGTAAGTAAGTAACTGCATAATTTAAAAAAAAAAACATAATTTTAATACTACCTATAGATAGGTATTACGTATATACCTACTCAAATACTGTTAAGGCACTATAAGTTGGCATTTACTACTACCTACATACATTTAGCTTTTTTGATACATAAACAATGCTTTCATAAATTATGAATCATAAATGGTCTGTTAGTTATGAAGTAAACCATGTACTTATTGTATGTGGAGACAAAAAAAAAATAAAAGATGATAGAAAATTGGAAGTGTCCCCCCTCCCCCGTTAATAAATTCCTTAATCCGCTAATACGACACTGTACACATAAACGATATAGAAACAATAGTGTAGATTGCGTACACACCTGCACGCGCGTGGAAGGTTATCAAATATAAATATTATAATAAAATACATTCATTATTTTTACTACCTATCATCATGTAAATATTAACCAAAACGAAGAACGGATTGTCATAGCAAATCGATTATAGTGTACTCTTGTACCTACAAGGGAGTGGCATTCAGTAATTGAGTGGATCACCCTCCCCCCACCCATATTTTCATTTTTTATTCTTTAATAAATATTTTTT